GGAATGTCGGTTAATTAGAACTAGTGTTGTCAGAATGGTAATTCATTATATAGAAATGCCGCCTAGGAGATATTTTATCATTATTGTCAGCCTAATAGACTTTGTCATCGATTCCCCATTTAGGCTGATTATTCATGAAATCGTATGTAACCTCCATGAATGTTCTCGTTTGATTTACTCCACAAGTAGATCATTTCTACTGAAGTCAGCAGAGACGGGATTTTTGTTTTTGATAAGAAATGTAAGCGGGAATTATTGGATGGACATTTTTCATTCTTATACTGCTTTCAGATTTCACGTGTGTCTTCTAGAGTTAACTGATATTCTATGCAGATTTCCAGTCAGCATCTTCGTCATTATCCTTCGCTGTCTCTGAACGACACATTCCAGAATTATAAAACACCACGGGCAATGTAGTCAGGAATATTGATATTCATTTCGGACGAAAACACATGGTAGTTCAATTCATCGGATATTTCACAGTTGACAGAGTTTCTTTTCCTTGTCATCCAAGTGAATCTGGAGTAGATGAGAATCATTCACTCTGATTATTATTGGATATTGTGCATTCGTGTGAATCATGTCAACACTTTGTGCTGTTTCTGTGTTGGGAATTTAATTGGCATATACATCAATGGGACATTTTGCCAGGAATCTCAGAATCGATTAATCACTAGGCACAGATATCGACTTTGATTCCAAAACACAATGGAAGGCAAGAAGTTGTTTTTCTTCATTGTAGGAAAACAATATTCTGTTCTAGGTCTATCAATGAATGTTATTACAGAAGAATTGATTGTACTTTCACTCGTATTCTTACGTCTACTTCTAAGTTTCACACGATCGAATACCTCACGCAATCAACTTGTTCGTCATTGGCGACCGCTGTCGATAAACAAGCATCCAGTGGTCACCCTATTTGACAACACCTTTACATCCCATTAGACGGGACTAGAAGTAATTGGAAAATACTAACCCAGCACAAAATTCAGCAATGCTCTATTTCGCCCACGTCCTCTGTGATTCAGATATGACCTACGTTGTTATTAGCAAACAATTGACTCTTCAGTTCTCTCCTCTTTCTGATGTATGCTGATAGAGTTTCAATTAACTTGCTTAAAATTTTACCGACTAACATTTTGATCACTAGTTTACTCATGTTGAATAATTTTGATTTCATTTTACCTGCTAACACAACCATGCTGTCACTCACTACCCTGCAATATTATCTCGCATTTATTCTGCTGTTATCGAGTAAATTGGATGTGACATGGTACAGAATACTGAGACGTACACGGTATCAAAATTACTGCTTCAGGTATAACGCAACTAAAAATAATAATCATGATTATTATTAATTACACGCCATCATTCGGTCTGATTATTTTCAGGTATTTTGCATTTGTGTGAATCATGTCAACACTTTGTGCTGTTTCTCTGTTGTTGGAAAAATTAATTTGCATCAATGGGACCATCAATGTGTATCTGTCTCACTCGCTATCTCCGTATGCGTGAATGTCTGAGTGAATCACTGTAATGAGCAGTGAGAATATTCACTCAGATGCCAGAAAATTAGTTGAGATATTCAAGTTCCTGTAATAACAATGTTATCAATATTATCAGTAATATTATTATCATTATTATTCTAAATAATGAAATACATTGATACAATAGATAGAAAGACTTTTCTCTTCAGATATTATCAGTCAATGTTTTGTGTTATCGGAAGATTCAGGTCATCGAAGGAATGTAGAATAATCAGAAACAGTGGTGTCACATTGGTAAATCTCACAATGTGTTCATTTATACCTAAATGAACGCCAGTTTATTCTCATTATTTCTGTCGTTGATGGAATATACGTGGCCAATATTGTGCTTTGTTTTCAATAGTCTCATTTTTATGCAGTTATTTCACGTTCAGTTTTCCTGCTATGCATACTGACCGTATTTATTGTATTCAACTCGAATTTTTCTACATCGTTTTTCTCATTCTCTTCATTCCGCTGGATTTTCACGAAGATTACTCTATCGCTTGGTCGTTGTTTTGTTTGCGTGGCTTGTATTATTTCTTGGAGTTTTTTCTCGGTAGCTCTGTTTCAGTTCACTCACACTGTCCACACTCAGACACCTTTCCTTTCTCTTTCATACTCCGTCAAAATGAACGAAACCATGAAGGTATGAATGAATCGATGGGTTGTTAGATGGATAGATGGATGAATGAATGTGAGTTGAGATAATCTGGAGACGATTTTACATGAATGAATTGGTGATTTGTGAAAGATCATAGCCTCCAGAAAATACTCCGTTCTGCCTACTGATTTACGAACTTCTGGAATGTGAGATTCCCGTCAATCTTGCTGATGTTCATATATATCAATCAAATCAACTGACACGTGCAAATGAGACTGATGTTATCGTGGAGAGGGGAGTCTTCGAGTTTTACTTTTTACTTTGGCAACTTTACGTTTTTGTCAACAAGTTCACTTGATTTGTAGAACTTAGTCCGTATCCTTTACAAGCAGCTCTTTTTCGAGTCACACACTAGAACATTTACTAACGTGTTTATCAAAATGTAAATGAGAACGGTCAACTGTCGAACTACGAGTATATCTTTGCTTCTGTCCAGGTGGAATCAGTAGATAATAAGTTCGCCTTCATAATTTATATTCCCTATTTACTAGTGTCATTCTAACGCAACTTTATTCTACCTGTATGAGTTATTCGCCTCAAATAATCTGAATAGTGGTGTAACCACCACACATCAATGTCCTGAGATGATCAAATAAACCTAAAGAAATACGGAGTAGTGACGGTATTCCAAAGACTCAGACTTATCCGAATCGACACCTGGATGTGACGAAGAAACGACTAAGTATAAATCTGAAATTCAAGACAGGTACAATTACTGGAGTTCTCCAGTGTGGCCTGTTGATATCAATTCGAAGAAGGTTCGATGCTACATCTCTACACCTCATCTTCTTCACAAACGCTCTCGTTCATTAAAAACGCCAACTACGAGATCCCAATATTTGCAAATTCAATGACCATGTAGTTCAAGGTGATTTCACCTGCATTCTAATCGTGCAAATGAACTCGATCAGTGCTTGAGTATGTCTGCTCGCTTTGGCGGTACATATACTAAAATTGGAACGATACAGGGAAGATAAGCATGGCCCCTGCGCAAGGATGACACGCAAAACCGTGAAGAGTTCCATATTTTTTTGGGGGGGGCGTCGGTTTCATAGCGATTAGGAGGCTCGCCGACTATGCATATGGTCCGCGGGTCCATTTCCGGCCGGCGCACTCCTTTACCTCACTCAGCGAGTAATAAAGCTAACCTGATGAAGAGGAAGGTTTGGGCATGTGGCTAGCAACCCGATCCTGTAAATTAAACCCTGCCGCATAAACTTCAAGCCTCTAGCTTGAAGCCCTATGTTCCACTGAGAACATGAAGGAATAACAAAAGTGCTTGAGGAGAAACCTGAAATTTGTCTTCACAAACATTTTATCAAGCCTTTCTTGCTAACATGGCCTTGGTGCAAAATTCTTATCTCCTTCCTTCTTCGCTCCGCTGAGTAACTGTGAAATAAGCTCAGTGTAGTCCCTTTTATGTATTCGCAACTCATTTGCAATCCCTTCTTCTTCTGTCTCTCATATCTACCATTTCCAAACCATTAATACTCACTTGGTTGGTGATTTGTCAGTCCTCTTGATTACTTCTGATTATTCTCACCTTCACAATCGTAGTTGTTACTCATACACGTTGATTCCCCCTGTTGCCTTGCTACTGACAGAAACCTCTCACGCGTGATGTCAACCTGTACTGAATACATAAACACCCAATGGCATAAGTGAACAGCTTCGAAGTGAAGCTATTAAAGGAAGATATCTGTCTCCTGACTTGTGTCTTCTTAACTACATGCGATGAAAGTCCTTCATACTTCCCATCAAAGCTGAAAATTACCAACAGAACTGTGCACTGGAAGTAAATTATTTCGACTGTGATTTCGTCTATTCAGGACCAGATTTATGGAAGGAAATAATACAGATAATGTAATAATACAGAGGCTATACCTGAAGTTATTTGAAGACGTCTAAGGAGATTGGAAGAAATCTGAGCAGAAATAAGAGACTCTACTAAAACCGATAGACATGTAAGAAATGATTCACCTGATTAATTACTATTCCTGATTGCTTGCTATAGCTTCTGTTGCCAAATGCCATGAGGAACATAGTAATAGTATGACTTTATTGATTACGAAATAAATTCTCTGCAATACTCTTGCTGGTTCATATCATCAGCATGCCGAAAATGCGTGAAATGAAAACGTGAATGATCTCATAGTGACATCTGCGAGATGACATTGTGACTTTTCCATCTGTACACACAAGGCAGATTTCTTTCATAACCATCATGCTCTTCACACTAGGATACAAATTGTATATGGCCAGAAACAAACAGGCTTAGTGCACAATTCCAGTAAAATTTATCAGCTCACCATCACCGCCATGGCAATATTACCGAAAACGGATTTCATCTCACATCTCATCAAGTGAGAATGAGAAGGGAATCTGTGTTCACCGACTATGACACGACTAGTTATTACGACGAAACTTATGTTAATACAAGTGCTGTTATCATCCTCTCAGATTGTTTTGTTTTGACAGTAAAATGGATGTCCAGTGTAATCGGTTAGACAGCTACTTTCCACACTACTCACACCAGTCAGTACCATCCTCACGATGGAGATTTTTACTTTCTCGGAGACCTCATGGATCTGATAAAAAGTGAGTAAGATTCGCGTGCAAAGGGTTTTAGTGTCACAATAATCCCACATGTTGTTTACAATAAGCAACGGTGTGATCATGTTGGTAGTGATATGTTTGAACCTTACTAAGTATTTTATTTGTCAGTATTCCAATATGCGGCATATTCTGTTTGTGTGCCAAATTCATGATTCGCCTTGAGACACTGTGTAACTTTCTACAGCATTCAGAATATGACAATTTCAACAACAACACCTGATTTGGAACACCTGATTTCTTTTTTAATTCGTCTTCCCTGTGTTGGTCGACAAGTGATTGTATGTGGCGTTGGAATGAATACACCGTGTGCTATTCTACGTATTCACCTGTTAAGAGGAGAAGCTGATTCAGTGTCTCAAAGTGAGTGTGGAAACATTTCAAAAGTGGTTTATGTGTGAGCAGCAATGAATACCCTTCTTCAACGTCTTCTTTTACTTGTCTCCATCATTGAATTATAACATATGAAGTGCTCCAAAATATCTGCAAAACTGAAGTCACTCTCAATTCACTTTGCTGATTTTTTCTCTTCTATGATTGGCGCACACAAGTTGTTATTTGATCGAACGTGAGCATCACTTCATTCAGAATCCAATCAAGACGTGAAATAAAGTAAGACAGATTGAATCGGCCAACCACCATCCAGGATTATACTGTGCTCACAGACATCTGAATTTCAGCACTAGTATAAATACTCGTGAATTGAATGATCAAACATAAACATGATGAATCGGTACACAGCCTTCCTGATAACTATTGTCGTTCCACTGCTTGTACATTCAGATATACAAAGGGGTAAGCAGTGATCTATTTTACACATATCTTGATTTTGTCCCTTTATAATTCGGGTGAAACAAATGGCTGTCATCTTGAGCTCTGAAGTTCCAGTCGCATTGGTTTTATGTTTCACAGCATGTTGCTACTAGCCTCACACACAGATTTCCCTCTCTGCTGAACGTAGCACCTGCCTGTACAGGTGTAGGAGTGCATCTGTGACGGTGGATAGAGTCACACACCACGATTGGCGTGTTTAGCGAGCATTGTACTGCTAAACCGCCGACTCAGTGGTATATTTAGGCCTGTGATAAATATTGGCCTCATTTTATTTTCTTTGTCGTATTGTTGTTAGTATTTCCAAATCATTTTATTTTGTATTCATTCTATCATTGAACAATTCCATCAATTTAAATGCCACCCTCTTTCTTAAATATTACTCGTGTAATGAGAAAGGTACATGCAATACTGTACAACATGCTGGAAATCGCATATTTGTACTGAAAGCACTGTTTGAAATAATCGTATTACTATTACTAATACTGTGTTATATTGTCCAAGTTATGTATAGCCTGCTAAATTTCCATACATCGTGAACGTCACAGTAAATTAGAATCATTTTATCAGCTTTAGGTAAATTTTTGTTTCAGGGGTGTGGTATTCATCGGTGACGGCAGAAGAGGTGTTATGAATGCTGAGTAGGCACCTAATACCAGCGAGGAAATCGTTGAATCTGCTGGGCTGAATGACGACATGCCACATATGAGACAGTTTGACGAGAAATACCATGATAATTGCGTTTTCACGAATGGCCTATAAATAATTAGAAATAAACATATGCCGATAGAGACCAACTGCCAAAGAAAAGTGCCAGTCAAGTGAAGAAAAACTCAGAACACAAAGATGACAAAGGAAACAAACATACTTGACCACATCAACCACCTACATCAACACCACCACCATCACTGACAACAACAACAACCACAGCGGTAGCAAAATGCATCAATCATCATCGAGGAGACAAAACCTACGAGAAATTGGTTTCTGCAGTCGGCGTGGAGATCCAAAAACACATAGACACACACTCACAGCTCTAAGAACAAGGACGAAAGTAGACTTTTTGAAAACTAGTTTGGTTCCAGTGTTTCCAGAGGATTCAGAGGCTTGTCGAAAGGGTGGGGAGTGGATCAGCCTTTAGAGTCGACTCTCATCCATCAGACTGTGTTATTCACAGTTACCAGAGAAACAATCCGGGAGACACTGAAGCGACTATTGATTCTCATGCTAAGAAGTCTCACTCAATGAACTAGTGTCTCGACTGATTGATAATGCAGTCTTTACTGAGCAACACACTTTCACATATCATGATCAATATGAATGTGTTCTAGACAGGTGAGTGTTGTCCATGATATGACTGGAAATGGGTATGAAAAACGAGCGCATGGGTATTCACTGATTTTAATGCTCCACATTCTCATCCATTATGTATACTTATTATTATTCACGTAGTTATTCTGTCAGTTAGTTATGCATTTCCGTTCAGTGAAGTTGTATTGCATTATTGGTCGGTACCTGTGTATGTGTGTACAATAATGAATTCGGCAAACTTGAAATGATGCACTTTCTTGCAAACTAATACGTCGATAATAAACTGTATTTCAGCTGGAGGATGCAGAGGTCTCTTTCTGCTAATCTGCATTCATCATTTTATATTTTCTGTTTAGGTGGAATTGCTGAGATGCAGACGATTAGGGCTATTGATTGGTTCGACTCCCACAGAAGTGAGTTCACAATGAATAACCTTTACTGTTTCAGCCATATGAGAGTAGAAGCAGTTTAACTGCTGTTTTGCGATTATTTCACACGCTTATATGGTTCACATCAAAGAGGGTTAGTTTGCACTGCACTGCACTGCACAGGGAAGGTGAACTCTGTTTTCTTTCGGATTCGCGTGCATTGCATTGTGAGGTTGTGTGCGTGTGTGCATTTGCTGATATTTTCACAAAAATCAACTTGTATCCCTCACTGATTTTAATTTCAAATCGGTAATAGCTTTGTAAGAGCGGCGGGGGGGGTGGTAAGACGCTGAAGCCAAGGTATATTTCCGAGTTATCAGACCGCGATTTATTTCTATACGGTTTAAATTCTTCATTCACTCACTGGGTGTGTGATTTTGATTTACATCAAACGACATGAAATAGAATGTTCAAATACACATAGAGTATTCTGCGGCTAATGTCTTACTGAACTATGTGAATAGTATGCAGGCGTTAACACAGACAAATACAATGAATCCTAATGTGAAAATAAAATTTTTGGTTGGAACCTATTGTCTGTGTCACACTAACATAGCATTAATTATGAGTACTTCAATGAAAGATCCCTTGAAAACGAGTGTTTGCACTCTGTATATCTGTGGACAGTTTGAAATTATGGATAACCTAATTTGCATATTTGTTGAACAATCGTTAACATTAAAGCTTCATCAAATAAAAATTGTCTTCTAATTTCTTAAAATTCTATTTCAGCATTGTTAAGAAGAGACCCTATTGAACCTGCGAATCGAAGAATTTTCGGCGTTGTGAATCGAAGTATGTCACCTGACAATCTACCTCTGCATTTACTGCATTTCACTAAGGTCACTTATCATACAAGATAATACACAATTTGCACCGCACAGTGACAACGATAAAGAAGGTCAATATTCTGATACTGTATTCTACACACACCGACGCAGCATGTCGTGCGATAGACACCAGTGAATTGATGCAAGCATCTCCGCCTGCATACTGAATATCTCTTGTAGATGATTCGAAAGAATTACTGCCACCATTCAAAACAAATCTCTATATTATCTGAAACAAAATATTCTATTTAATTTTTAGGAAGTGATGGTAAAAATGTGTGAAACCACGAAAGTATCAACCTAATATATTTTCGAATCATTCGTCTTTTCTCCACTGTCAAGTGACATTAGTCAGGTGGATAATGCGAAGCAGTGCAGCTTAAGTGTAGACGATGTGTTCACATATTGGCAGATTCAAAGTGAGAACAGGGAAGACAGAGGTTATAAAGATGCCTGACCACCACAACGACCAACATCAACACCACCACCATCACTGACAACAACAGCAGCGGTAGCAAAATGCATCAATCATCATCGAGGAGACAGAACCTACGAGAAATTCGTTTCTGCAGTCGGCTTCGAGATCCACAAACACACAGACACACATTCACAGCTCTAGGAACAAGGACGAGAGTAGACATATTGAAGACGAGTTTGGTGACAGTGTTTCCATAAGCTTCAGTAGCTTGTTGAATGGTGTGGAGTGAGTCAGCTGTTAGAGTCGATTCTCATCTAACAAAGTGTGTTATTCACAGTTACCAGAGAAACAATCCGGGAGACGCTGAAGCGACTATTGATTTTCATGCTAAGAAGTCTCACTCAATGAACCAGTGTCTCGAGTGATTGATGATTTAGTCTTTACTGAGCAACACACTTTCACATATCATGATCACTATGAATGTGTTCTAGACAGGTGAGTATTGTCCATGATAAGACTGAAAATGGGTATGAAAAGCGAGCGCATAGGTATTCACCACAGTGATTCCTGACAATTCATCCTTCATACTCATTAGCTATTCGTATTTATTTATTCGTATCGTATTTATTTAACATCCGTGTTTTTAGGTCAAATTTTAGAAAATGAGACTAGATATGAGTCAATGGTTCGTTGGTCTCGCTCGTTCAATGGTGAGGTGTCAATCCCTAATTTTTACCTTTTCAACCATACGAGATTATATGCCATTTGACTCCTGTTTTCTGATAGATTCAGATCAAACAGAGTTATTTTGCACTGCACTGCATTCGTCTGCATTGTGGTGAGTTTGTGTGTGTGTGTGTGTGTGCTGACATTTTCACCAAAACCAACCTTCATTCCTCATTATTTTGGATTTCATATCGCCAAAAGCGTTACCTATAAGTTTTTCAATCAAACATGCTATGAGAAGGAGTGTTTCTTCTCTGAGTGTCTGCGAACCGTTTGATTTTAGGGATAAAATAATTTATCTATTTATTTAGTGGTTTTTAAAAATTATGTCTCTTGTTTTTAAAATTCAATATTTTTCAGAAATGGCAAATCGGAGCCTCACTCTTTTGGAGTATGCACAATCGCAATTAAATGCTACTAAAGGTACGTAACCCGAGAAATTTTCTCTGCATTCATTTCTGATGAAGTTCACTCTTACTCCACAATAATTCATGACTTGCCTACAATAATGAGAACGATAAAGTAGGTCGATGTTTGGATATGGTAGTCTGCACACCAAAGTACTTTGTAGTGTCATAGACATCAGTTGAACGATGCAAACATCTCCTGAAATGGTTCAAGAGATTAATTGACGCCTATCAAAACAAATCTTTATATCATCTGAACAAAAATATTCTAATAATTTTTAGGAGGTGTTGGTGAATAGGTGTAAAACAACAAATCCATCGACCTCATGTCTGTAGAAGCCATTCATCTCTTCTCCACTGCCACGCGAGATGAGTCACGTGGAGGAGGTGAGAAAAACTCACTCAAGCGTCA